CAGAAACCTGGCCGTGATAAACAGTCTAAAATATATCTGCAATTTGCCCGTTTTTACCCCCCTCTACACCCCCTATTGACATTTTTTAATTTTTCATTTTTTAGAAATGTAGATCACGTTGAGCGAAATCGAATGCCGTTTGAATTTTGAAAATCGGCCCGTTAGATCTCGAGATATCAAGGGGGGGGGGTCGTAAACAGCCCCCCCCTGCCACTAATAGGGGGTAGCCAGGAGCCTGCCACTAATAGGGTTAAATGCCTTTTCTCTTAAAATAAACGGTGAAAGTTAGACACTTGACCTGACCTGTGGTGTCATCGGTTTGACCTAGGTCAATGAAATTCGGTCACAAGGTTGGATGAAACGGTATCACGGAAAATCGGAATACCGATACCAAACCAAATACCAACCAAAACCGTGGAGAAATACCGAAACCAAACCAACTTGGGAACATCAGGAAATACCAACTTTTTGCCGATTTCTTAGCCTCATAAGCATTAGCAAGGGTTCATGATACCAACAAAATACCAAGTAGGTATATTAGGATTGAAATACCAAATACCGAGTTGGTATCGGTTTGGTATCGGTATACCAAAAAGTTGGTTTGCGATTGACATCTCTATTCAACACCGTTTGCTGCTTGTCGCCTGTCGGTATGGTGCGTGGTTTTCGATATCTTAGGGAGGGGCAAAATACCCCCCCCCCCCAACAGGGCGCGTTGCTCGGCAGACCCGAACGGGGCGAACAGTTTTTCGCAAATAACTCTTGATAGAGGCATGCTAGAGCGATGAAAACGCCTTACATGTGTTCAGCTCGACGATACGGATCGACTGATATGCAACATGACCCTTTCCGGTCAGGTCTTGACCTTGACCTGAGGTCAAATTTTCAAGTTGACCTTTCAAGGTCAAGTTATAGTTCATTCGATGCGTCTTGACGAGAGGAACACGATGTCGTAAAAGTAAGCTCGTACAAGGCTTGGGGCAAAAGTTATTGCAGAAAAACTGTTTCCGAAAAAAATCTGTTATTTTTGCAGTTTTTGCCCCCTGCAGGCAAAACCGTTGACGTTAGGTCAAATCTGAGAGAATTGCTCAGAAAGGGCGTTAATAGGGCTATCGAATGCGCTTTTCCGCGGCGCTGTAGCTCTATTGGTTCCCGAGTTATGCGTTGGCTTCTTGGAAATTGTCGACATTTGACCTGGAAATCGGCAAAATTTTGCCTTCAATGACCTTTGGTGACCTGACCTTTGACTTGACCAAAAAATTGACTGAAGTGATTTCGTCATTATTTTTGGCGCTCTTTCGAACGCCGCCTTCTGCGTATCGCTACGTGGTCCAGGAGCCGAGTTAGAAGGGGGGGGGGTGTTCAGACACGCCCCCCCCCCCAGCAGGGCGTGGAAATCCCGGACCGCCAGCCGGACGCGGGTTAACCCGCGCCCCACTGGGGGGGGGGGCTATTTATAGCCCCCCCTCCGGTTTTTCTGCAATAACTTCCAAACCGCTTGACGAATCGACGCCAAACTTTCAGTACCTTCGGCTGCATCAATTTGACACCTTGTGTCAAAATTTGAACTTCGTAGCTACCATAGGTCGGCCGGAAATGACGTCAGAGTGACGTCATGTTCGTCCGATTTCGACGCAAAACATTGAACCACGGCAATCGCTCCCAAGAGCTCAGTTTTTAAGTTAGATCCAATTTCTTTGCATGAAAGAACTCAGAATTGACCGCGCTATCAAACTGCTATCTCGGATTTTCAAAATTTTGAAAATTTCGAAAATTTTATATAATACTATTCAAAATTTATATTTTTATATTTTTTCAAAAAGTTTTTGACTTTTCGAAAAAACCGGAATATATGTGACAGAACGCATGATTGTGACTAACTCTAGCAAGTTTTAGCTAAATATCTTCAAAAATGGCCAAGTTATACGCATTATTGCAAAAAATTCACAATTATTAATTTTTCAAATCAATTTTTCAGTACGTATTTGGCATCGTACACCAATATAAATGGCACCATCGTGTTCCTGAGCTCAAACTGCATCCAATAGACACCTTTTTTGTTGAAAAATTTCAACTTCAAAATTTGACCTTTTTTGACCTGAAAGTGACCTGACCTAAGCTAATTTCGACTCAAAATGACCTTGAATGACACAGACGACATCAAATTCGAAATCTATGGCCTAAATGGACCATAAAACATGTGTCACGTGACCGACGCATGATATAATATTTTCGTGACCTGTGATGACCTGACCCTGACCTGAAAATCAAAGTACAAGTTTGGTACCCTCAAGGTATCTAGAGCATCTGTTCACGAGTGTGGAAACCAAAAATGAGCCTGATCTGACTTGTAAGACGGCGGCCAGAGCCCAAAATGTGAACAAGCCAAAGTGCTAATAATTTTTACTTTGACCTGACCTGTGACGTCATCGGTGACCTCGAGGTCAATGAAATTAGGTTTCGCTCGACAGTTTTTCCGGGGCTATCAGACGCCGTTTGAATTTTGACGATCGGCCCAGTAGTTTCGGAGTTAGGAGGGGGGGCTATGAATAGCCCCCCCCCCCCCAGTAGGGCGTGTTATACACAGACCCCAGTGGGGCGCGGGTTAAGTAAGAAAGACTTCTAAATAAAAAATGAGTAATGGGCCAATTGAGTCAGCCTTAGAGCGTTGCTGAGGAATCATTATCAGTCACGATTCCACGTGCTTGAGGTAATATTGGCGAATTTTTCACGTATAGAAAATGCCTGCAATAGTGAGTGCCATTGTCTGAGAATTACCCCCGCCGTGCTGGGGGAGCGGGGGGGGGGGGGTAGGGGTCACGCATCCCCGTCAGGTTTTTGGCACAGCTATTGATACATATTTTCCGCACAAGTTGTGAAAAATTCAGATCTGGGTCGTTCAAGGTCAGGTCACTAGGTCACGTCGTGACCTTACCTCAGAAAAGTTCCAATTCTCGCGCTTTAGCTACACCAACTGAACGATCGCTTTGAAATTTCCAACGATAAAACACCTCAGATGTGTTCCACTTGACGATACAGATCGACTAATATGCAACATGACCTTTTTCAGTCAGGTCATGACCTTGACCTGAGGTCAAAATATCAACATGATCGTTCAAGGTCAAATTATAGTTCATTCGACGGGTCTCAACGAGGGACACACGATGCTGGCAAAACAAATCTCGAGACTCTCTTTCGTCAAAAATTATTGCGAAAAAAAAAACATTTTTTGTTGTAAAAACGGTTATTTTTCTGTTTTTCCCTGATCCCTCTCGGGGCTTAACTGTTGACCTGAGGGCAAATCTGAAAACGATGTACGGAAAGGCATTCGAAAGAGCTATGGAATGCGCTTTTCCCCGGCCACACTGAAAACAATTTAACCCAAGGCCCGCGAGTAAACCGGTGTTTTGAGGGTACCCCTATCCGCAACCATTTTTAACCACCCTCCCAGGAGTACAGTAACAGTAAGGTCCCATTGCAGTGTAGTCGTCCCTGCTCTCAGCGGACTTGTTCGCTGACAGCGGTTATATCCGTTCAGAGCAAGTACGACTACACCGCAATGGGACCTAGCACTACTCCTGGGAGGGTGGTAAAAAATGGTTGCGGATAGGGGTACCCGTAAAACACCGCGGTTTACTCGCCAGCCTTGGGTTAAATTGTTTTCAGTGCATGTAGCTTTTTTGGTTTCCGCGTAATGCGTCGGTGTTACCTTTGATGACCTTTGTGACCTAACCTTTGACCTGACCTAAAAAATGACGAAAGTGGTTTTGTCCTCCTGTTTTTGAACGCTCTTTCGACTGCCGCTTAATGCATGTTGCTACCTGGCCCAGGAGCCGAGTTAGACGGCGCGGGGGGGGGGGGCGTTTTCACGCGCACGACACGGAAAACTCTGACCAACAGCACTGTGCGAGTTGAATGGAACAGTTCACTTTCCCAAAATTAGCTTTTTTGCAATGGAATTGTGATTTTTTATGCACAAACTAATCACCAAAGAAAATAAACCTTTTTATAAAAGACGATCATTTTGTTTATTCTAATATAGGAAGAACTAGACTCTATATATGATCTCAGGCAGCTTTTGCCAAATTGTCAGGGAACTCAGATTTGTTTTTCAATAGAAAAACACAATTCTAAAGAATAGTGTTTTAACTATTGACAACAAACCTTCGGTTAAAATAGGTATTGTTTGACGCGGAAACTTATTACGCTTCGACCAATCATATTGCGTAGTACGAACCCATTGGCTGCAGGCAGCATGCTGATGGGCTGACCATGACGCCGCTGCATTCCTCAGCAAGGCACGCATTCCTCTGCAAGGCACTCTGTTCGGCACGAGAAATGGAATATGTATCTTCATCTAGATAGCGTGAAAGGTATAAGAAATGATGACTTATTCATGAACGTTCACGAACTGTTCGTGAACAAATAATTGTTCTGTTCGTGAACATGTGACCTTGATTTAATGATGGAATTTGTAAACTGTCTAATAAACAAACAAATAAACGTAGCTTACGAACTGTTCATGACCAAATATTCAAGCAACAAACCCTGGTTTACGGTAAGCAACCCTATTGGTAGGGGCTGAAAACTGTTAAACTCGATTCATACACAGTAGCCCCAGCCCCCACCAATTGCATACCCTAGTGATAGCCCCGACTTGTGTTGGTCCAGGTCACGGAACGGTGCAAAATGCATCATTGCGTAGCGCTCCAGGCGGTGGCAGGCGGTGCACCGCCTCCAACGCCCTGTAACTTTGCACGCGCGTGAACACTGCATATTGCACATTTCATACATTTGTCATTGGCCAACGTTTCATTTCCGCAGCATGTGTGACACTTGGACATTATCTCAAAACGGTAGGTAGCACTTACCGCTTACGCCATACACTAGCATGTTTCAAAACCTATCCGTTTCGCGCCAGATGTTCGCGCTTCTGCATGCAGCGCGAAAATAAAACCCCGCCAAGTGTCGGCTCCGTCAGGTGTAGCGCCGCGGTGCCAGAGGGGAGGGGTAGGGGGAGGAGAAGGGCGGGGCTTGCGGTGACTGCTGCCGGCAGCTGAGCTGGCTTGGCTCCCGGCTCAAAACAGAGCGATCGCTGAGGAGGGAAGGGTGTGTCGCTTGTGCAGTGCCTTGAGGAGTTTCAGGACGATCTTTTCGGACGAAGAGCGACAGGTGACGATTGTTTCTGGAGTGAAGGAGGAGGCGCCCTAACAGGTGGGTTGAAATGGTTCGAGTTTTTGTGTTTTTTTTCCATACACTATAAAGTGCTGTCCTAAAAGGAAGCATTGTTCGGGATCGGGATGATCGTGTACGATTGATTCCGCAATACCGTTGTTTAAATATAAGCGCAACTGTCTGGGAAGCTTCACAAAGTGTCCCTTTTGCTTATCCGCTTCGTATTTCCGACTTCTCGGTGCCTCGTTTTCGAATCTTTGCAGAGGGAGCTGTTAAATCTTTAGTAACGATATGCATTTAAATATCCAGCCTGCTTCACATTTCATTTCTCTGCAGACATTTTAATTTGCAGCTGCTTCTTGCATAATTGTTTGACGTAGCGCTTATCATGCACTGAAGGGCAAAATGAAATTGAAGTGCAATGTCTTTTCAGAAATTTGCACTATCATTGCCGGTATCTACCTCTCCAACTTCTATCCCCCCCTCCCCCTCCAAGTCTCGAGTCGTTCTCGTCATGGCCACCAGTGCGCGGGTGGAGGATGACTCCGTTCGCCAGAGTTGACATTTGGCACCGGCGCGCTCCGTTCATTTGGCGCTCATTCAGACGCCTGTTCCCCTCTCTCCCCCCCCCACCTCCCCCTCCCCCTGTGACCCCCCCCCCCCGCGGGCCGCCGCACCGCCACCGGTGGTGTCTGGTTTGCGGCGGAAAAAGCCAGCTTCGCACCAAATCCGCACGCGGAAGTCACACTAACGCGACTTGCAGAGAAGATAACAATCTCAATCTAGGGAAGATGGCGTGTGCTCATGAAAGTTAGGCGCTCAGCTGGCAGCTGCTGGGTTAAAAGTGATGGAAATTGGAATGGCACGCATCAGCTTACCCCCCATGCGATTACTGTCCATCGCAGAGATCTGTAAACACGGTAGAATCTGGTCTGGACCAGTGGCGGCGGAAGATAATTTTGGATGGGGGTGCAAAGTTTTCTCAAGGGGCCCCTCGGGAAGTTTTGGGCCCCCTTCTTTTTTGGGGTGATTATTATTGATTTATGAAAAACGAAGATTTTGGAAAACTATCCCCATACACACAAGTTATGTAAAAGGTTTGAAATTGCAGTGTACATACCTAGTGTTTAGGAGCCCCTTGGAAACCGAACACATAAATACTCCTCCAGAGACCTACATGACTCCTCTGAGAGAATGAGCCCTCCGATCAGGGTCGGTCCCTTGAAAGCTGCTGAAAGGTTTCAGAAGGCAGTATAGGCTCGAAAGTCTTTTGAGGGCTCTCAGAAACCAGCATCGGACCCCCACCAAAAAAAAAAACTATAAAGCCGGGATGGAGGCCACAGGAGACGATGTTTAGCCTAAAGAGCCGGTATGGAGGACTGATTAGAGGAAAGGGGTCTCAGTGGGGTCTTCAGGGACAAGCGTTTGAGCCCCAGAAGTATGTGTGGGGTCTTAGAGGCAGGTAGACCCCTGGGGTATGCACGGGGTCCCAGGAGCTCGCGTGTGAGCCCAGATATTCGGCTGGCAGCTACTAGAACCAGCATGGGGATTCTTAGAAGCCGCTTAGACCCACATTTCATGGGTCATGAGTCCCAAGAGTCGATGTAGGGGCCATAAAAGCCGGTGTAGGGCCCATGGTCCCATAAGTTCCAACATTGAGCCTCTCAGAGGCCGGCGACGGGGCACCGAGAGCAGATAAAGTGCCTCAACAAGCCGACATGGGGCCTGAGAATCAGTGTCGAATTTCAGGAGCCTGCGTGAGCTCTCGGAGACCTTCGTATTTCGTAAGGTCCACAAAGGTCGTTGGGTCCTCTGAATCTGAACTCTGCGAGGCCCTCACAGGCCATCATGTCTCCTGGCACCTGCCTGCGTTGAGTTGAGACCCTCCGAGGCCGTCGTAGGGTTTTTCAGATGCCAGCGTTGGTCCTTGAAGCCTTCGTTAGGCCCTAGAAGCCGTCAAAAGGGCCCTCAGAGGTCAGCATGGCGGCATGGCCCCTGGAGCCTGACTGCGTCGAGGCCCTCAGAGGCCATCGTGGGGCCCTCATACGCCAGCGTGGGCCTTTGGAGCTTGCGTTGGGTCTTAGAGACCATCGTGAGGGCCCAGAGGGGTCGTCGTCAGGGCCCTCAGCCCCTCAGGGACCGTCCTGGGGTTCTCAGAAGTTGTGAGGGCCTTTAGAAGCCTTCGAGAGGATCATCAGAGGTCGTCATGAGGGTCCTTGGCCATAGTGAGGGTCTTCATGGGCCCTCAGATACCTTTGCAGGGCTCTCAGAGGCCTTGGTAAGACCGCTAGAGGCTATCGTTAGGGCCCTCAATAGACCGTTGCAGGGCCCTCAAATGCCAGCATAGCCCCTGCCTGCAGCCTGGTTGGGTGGGGGCCCTCAGAGGCCGTCGCTGGGCCGTCTGAAGCCAAATGGGCCCTCAGACTTGAGTTAGGTCTAGGTCCGTCACGAGGGCCCTCATAGACCGTCGTAGAGGCCCTCAGAGGCCAGCGGGCCCCTGGAATCCTGTGGGACCCTCAGCGGTCGTCATGAGGGCCCTTAGTGGTCGTTATAGGGCCCCAGAGGACAGAGGTCGCGAGAGCCCTCAGAGATCATCGTAAGGGCCCTCAGAGGCTGTCATAGGGGCCCTCAGAGGCCAGCGTGACCCCTGAGTCTCATAAGGGCCCCGGAGTCTCTGTGGGACCCTCAGCGGTCGTCATGAGGGCCCTTAGTGACCGTTGTAGGGCCCCAGGGCACAGAGGTAGTCGTGGGAGCCCTCAGAGATCGTCATAAAAGGGCCCTCTGAGGCCGTCGTGGGGGCCCTCATATGCCGCATGGAGCACCAAACGCGGCTCGGGACACTTCTAGCCGGTGTGGGGGCCCCAAAGACTAGCATGGGACACTCCTGACCATAATTGGACATCCCGGATGATTCCACATCAGTGTTCGGTTCCCGATCACTGGTTTTCAGGAGAAAATGTATTGGATGGTGCGACGGGCCCCTTGTACGGATTTTGGGGGTGCAAAAAGATATGTTTGCACCCCCATGTTTTTCGATGGGGGTGCAGCTGCACCCCCTGCACCCCCTATTCCGCCGCCACTGGTCTGGACGTTTCTGAGGGGATTTCGGGAAAGGTAAATTTCCAGAATGTTTTCGTCTATCTCATTAGCCCGTAGCCGTATGGAGCTATGAAGAGCAGCGTGGATTTGGAAGCACGCCGGTGGGTGCGGAGAGACTAAAAAGCTGTTCTGGCGCTGCTTCAAAGAGCAAGTCAGCACGCAATCTATACCTACAGAAATGGCACGCAGACACACTGGCAGGCACTCGACTATGGCGGCGCCGTCTTATTTCTCGCTACATGCCAAATGTTCGTAATGAGATGCAGCCCCATCCCTTGTCTGCTGCAAGCTTGAGATGGCCTGGAATAATATCGGTGGCTCGCCTCGACCGATTTGTTTATCTAAACCCGTCATATCCGTCTTTCCAGATCTGTTGTGCATATGCTATGAGGATCAATATGTGGAAACCAAGAGTGGCCGAAGACTTTTGTCCATAGTTCTTTTGAAAAAAGTAAATTATCGTTAACAGTCCCATGGTGGACTGTGCAATGAATTAATGACATGATTTTCTTATTATTATGTGATGTGCTTCCTTGACGATTCATTTGACGATACCCGTACCGTGCCGATAAATTACGACAATTTAATCCGATCTCCTCACAGAATTTAACCCTCGCCGGCCGAGGGGGGGGGGGCGGGTGCCGCCCCCCCCCATAGGGTTTTTTCGCGATAGCTCCGAACACGCTGGCGATAGAGAGCTGAAACTTGGCATACCTGACCTTTGATCCAAGCCGGATCTTTTGACACCAACCGCATTTTTGGGTCTGGTCAGGTCACTGACCTATGACGTCATAAGTGAACCTCTGCACGGTCTTCAGATGTCGCAACTTCGCAACGCCCTCACTGCCAGAGGAGATGTCACAGGGAATTGAAACTTGCAGGATCTAGTATCCATTATGAGTCCCACAACTTGTATATCTCGGATTTTTCCTAAAGGTCATATGAGGTCAGGTCATTTTCGTGACCTCACCATTATAAGCCAATGGGGAAAAATTCAAACTGCTATTCTGGCGCCGGGAACGATCTCCAACTATCTCAAGCACACAGAATCGTGATTTGATGCACTCCTTGCAAGGTTAGATGCGTCATTTTTGCAATGTTGACCTTACGTGACGTCATTTATGACGTCATCAAGGTCAAATTAGTTTTTCGTCAATAACTCTTGATCAAATTGAGCTAGCGAGTCGGGAAAGGCACCAATGGACTCAGGAAGGCCTGCCGAATCGAATGATATGCGACATGACCTCTTTCGACCAACTTCGTGACCTGGGGGTGCTGACCTGACCTTGACCTGAGGTCAACACCCCAAGTTGACCTGACCCGGACAAAAAGTATATCATTCGACGCGCCTGAGCGAGGCGAACACGATGCTGCCAAAATCGGCGCTCTGCGGCCGTTTTTTGCGAAGTTATTTACCAAAAACTGAACCGTACCCTGGGGCACTTGACCTGACCTCAGAGGTCACCGGTTGACCTAGGACCTTAAAATCGGGTACCAATCTCTGCGTCTCGTAACGGCGCACACGCTCGTTTTTTCCGCGACGCGCTAGCTCCATCAGGGGCGAAACGGCGAGGGGGGGGTCGTACCCGCCCCCCCCCCCCTCGGCCGGCGCGTATGTAGAAAACCAATAGGTCCGGCGAGGGTTAATGCGCTTCGCCGGTAGAATTAAGTCACCGCATAATCGAGTTTCCGCACAATGGTGTCGTCACCTTTTCTTTGTAGAAGTTTCGACAGACTTGGTATATTGTGTCAGGGATATTGTGTGATCGTCGCCACATTCATTCAAGAGCACTCCTCAAGAGCTATAAATTATGTCGGGACATTCTTCTTGAAGTAATGGACTGTTTTAGTCATGCTTTGATGTGATGCTGCGAAACTAATAACTAAACTATTGTCTCTTTGTCATTTATTTTCACTATTTCGCCAGGCTTTCTTGGTTC